TATTCAAATGGTGACCTCAGTGGCAGGTCGACGGAAACAAGCCGAAGAGGAATTTTCACTCTTGGATCGAGTCATGCTTACTCGACCAGAGTGGGGGGACTAGATGATATAGGATATTATACTCGACTCGGTTTAATATGATAAAACGGATATATATTGAATGATAAGCCCACTAAGACATCTAAGCCCAACGATAGGGGTCAAGCCCAACTTGGGCCCAAAAGGTACACTCCCCCTATAAAAGGGAGCCAAGGTACCTCATTCTCTCATTCTCTACTCATTTGATGACTACACTCTCTCTCTTGATATGAGGACTGACTTAAGCATCGGAGGCCCGACGCCGGGGCCACCCCGGCATTGGGTTCTGCAGGTACGGAGACCGGTTCGAGTTGAAGGAGCCCGGGTGAAACTTATTCACTTCAATATATATATATAATACTCTGTCTTTGAATTTTAATATCATATATAACTTATAAATTTAATATATGCATACAAATAATTTATAATACTTTATTTATATACGTGCAAATACACAAGATCAAATACTAGTTTATACATTTAAATTTTAATGGTGTATACTTATGTACAAAACTACCACTGTATATATATATATTAAAAAGAGAATCTAACAAGATTTATATCTCGATTATATAGCTCCCCCACAAACTTTTGTCTACTTGCCTGGATAATTTTGACTTCAGTTGTTCTCTGCTTAAGCAAATCTCTCTCCCTCTCTCTCTCTCTCTCTAGCTTCTCTCTTCTCATACTCTTTCTCCATTCCCAATCCTCTCAAAATTAATCATCCTACTGATTTTAATGACGTAATTAACATCTGTAAGTATCTCGTTTTGATCCGATTTACAAGTTCTGTGCATCTAATTGTAGTAACATTGGGTGTTTTGCCGAGTATATTGTTTCTTTTTAAACCGATTTATTGCTTTTGATTGAGAAATCTCGATTGGCTTTTCACTTGTTATGGAGTAATGTTTTTGCAGTATCTTCAAGCTGTGTCGAGCTCCATCATTTTGACTTCCTCGTACAGCTTGTGATTTACTTTTATTTTTGTGTTGTTTAAAGTTGTATAACGATGGCTGCTGCTGGCAAACTGTTACAGATGCGCTACGAAGCCTAGGTATAACATTTGTCCGAGGGCAAATGTTTTAAAAGACTGTACAATGGGTTTTTTTTTTTTTTTTTGTAGCAATCTTCTCTTAATAAAGATGATTGCACAAAAATTATATAGTATTCTTCATGTGAGCTAGAAAAATGATGATTCTGAGTTCAATTTGTGAGTGGAATCTCCTAGCCTCAGTAAACTTCAGCTTCCTTTTCGACAGTTTTGGGAAAAAATTATGAACATTTGAGTTGGTTTTTGGTGTAAAGAAGGAACTTTTTCTGTAAGAATTTTTGGGTGTTAATTTTGTGCTTACATCTGACTGACTCTTGGAGTGACTTCTTAGATTTCAGATTTTTGGAAAACTGAATCAGAAGTTGTTTAGTAGGCTCAGTTTAATTATTATCTGTAAGTGATTTCAGAAGTTATGTGTGCACAGGGATGAGCAACACAAGGCTGGTTCAGATGCATAAGAGATGTTTTCTGGGGCTCAAAGCCTTTGCTTCTTACTAAGCTGACAACCTAGCGTCACAAATTTGTTAGCAATTTCTTTTGAAATATAGTCCTCACCGCATTGTAGTGTGAGTTGACCGAGTGTGGTTAAGTATGAATCTTGCTTGATTTGTCTGTGTGTAAAAGTTGAGTAAGATATAAGTACAAGGTTACATTGGATACATTGCCTTTTCAGATATTATTAAATTTTATTTTGGGGAAGAAATTAGGGTGAAAGTGTACAGTTATCTTTTATTGATTAATAGTGTTCAATTTTTTTAGTTGCAGAGCCATATGTGGTGAGATAATGAAAAAACGGAAAATTGTTTCCAAAGATTTTGAACTTGTTTTACTTTCTTGCACGATTCTTAAGTTTCTATTCTTCTCATCTGTCAGATTGGCATCATTTGTAAAAGAAAAATGTTCG